TACGTTTTCACTCATATGCGAAATCTGAAAACTCAACAGAAGACCATTGGGGGAAGAAAAGGGGAAAAAATAGTTACAAACAGAGAGGGAGGCAAACCATAAGAGACTCTTAAATACAGAGAACAAACTGAGGGTTGACGGGAGTCAGGGGAGAGGGGGAAATGGGTGATGGACACTGAGGAGGGCACTTGTTGGGATGAGCACTGGCTGTTGTATGTAAGCAATGAGTCATGGGAATCTACTCCCAAGCCCAGAGCACACTGTATACACTGTATTTTAGCCAATTTGACAATAAATCATATTTTTTAAAAAAAGAATGACAATGAAGATGGGTGCAAAAATTCTCAATAAAATACTAACAATCCAAACCTAACAATACATTAAAAAAATCATTCACCATTATCAAGTAGGATTTCTTCCTGGTCTGCAAGGGTGGTTCAATATTCACAAATCAATCATGATAACCACATTAGTAAAAGAAAGGATAAAAATCACATGATCATTTCAATAGATGCACAAAAAGCATTTGACCAGGTACAACATCCATTCATGACGTAAACCCTCAACAGATTAGCTTTAGAGGAAACATACCTCAACGTAATGAAGGCCATATACGAAAAAACTCACATCTAATATCCTCAATGGGAAAACCTGAGGAGCTTTTCCTCTCTATGTTCAGGAACAAGACGGGGATGTCCATTCTCACCACTGTTATTTAAGATAGTACTGGAAGTCCTAGCCTCAGCAATCAGACAACATAAAGAAATAAAAGGCATCCGAGTAGGCAAGGAAGAAATCAAACATTCATCATTTGCAAATGACATGACACTCTATGTAGAATACTATGATTTTACAGATAACAAACAATAAAAGATATTACCCTAACAACTTTATGCCAATAAATTCAACCACTTAGATGAAATGAATAAGTCCTTTGAAAGACACAAATCATCAAAGCTTCTTATTCAATAAGTAATGTATAACTTGAATAGCCCTATATCTATTAAATAAATCAAATTGGTAGTTAAAAATCTTCCCACAATGAATACTCCAGGCCCAGGAGGTTTGACTGGTGAATTCTACCAAATACTTAAGGAAGAAATATCAATTCTACAAAAACTCTCCCATTAAATTCAAAAGGAGGCAATACTGCTGAACCTGCTTTCTGAAGCCAGCATTTCTCTTATACCAAAGCCAGAGAAAGACTTTACAAGAAAACTACAAACTAGTATCTCACATGTGTATAAAATTGTGAACAAAACTTTAGCAAATCAAATCTAGCAGTACATAAAATGGAACATTCATCATGAATAATGGAGTTTTTTCCAGAACCGCAAAGTTGGTTTAGCAATCAGAAAAAAATCAATGTAATTCATAATCGTAATAGATACAAATAAGCATTTGATAAAATGCAACATCTGTTATTGATGAAAAAGAGAACTCTCAGCAAACTAGGAATAGAAGGAAACTTCCTCAAATCAATAAGGGAAAAAAAAACCCTTCAGGTAATATCATACTTAATAGTAGGAGACTGAACGATTTCCCCAAAGATCGGGAACAGAGCTACCATGACTTCTATTACCAGTTGTATTCAGCAGTTTATTAGAGGCTCCAGTGAGTGCAGAAAGGTAAGAAAAGTAAACAGAAGGCATCCAGATTAGAAAGAAAGAAGTAAAACTGCCTTTATTCACAGATGACAATCTATGTGGGTAATCCAATGGATGCTTCAAAAAAGGTACTAAAATTAACAAATAAATTTAGCAAGGTAGGAGATAAACTCAATATACAAAGTCAATTGTATTTTTATATAGTACCAATGAACAATGGGAAATTGAAATTAAAACAACAGCATTTACAATAGGGTAAAGATATAAAATGTGTAGGGGTAAATCTGACAAAAGATACACAAGACTTGTATCCCGAAACCAACAAAGCATTGTTAAGAAAATTAAAGACCTAAAATAAATGGAGAGATATACCATGTTCATAGATCGGAACACTCAATATTATTAAGATGTCAATTCTCCCCAAATCAATATTCAATATAATTCCAAACAAAAATATCAGCAGGCTGTTTTGGAAAACAGTCTGGCAATTTCTTAAAGAGTTAAGTATACATATACCATATAATTCAGCCAGTCGGCTCCTAAGTATCTCCCCAAGGGAAGAAAGAACACATATCCACACAAAGACTTGTACACAGAGGTTCGAAGTAGCTTTATTTGTAATAAACCAAGACTGCAAGGAACTCAAATGTCTATCAACAAGCAAAGTAATAAACAATTATGATAATATTTATACAATTTAATACTTTTCTGTAATAAACGGTGTAAGCTACTGATACATGCCATAACATGGATGAATCTCAAAATAATTCTGGTGTATGAAATGAGACAGACAAGAAGAACATAGATTCTATGATTCTATAGATATGTATATTTTCCCATAGAAAACGCAGACTACTCTACAGTGACCACAGATCAGGGTTTCCTGGGGTTAGAGGAGGGACAGGGAGTGATGAGAGGGAGGAATTACAAAAGGACACTAAGAACCTTTTGAAGGTGATGGATATTTTCATTATCTTGATTGTGGTGATGGTATATACAAGTGTGCACATGTGAAAACTTATGAAATTATATACTTTTTTTGCTTTAACAAATGTATTTTTTACTCTTTACATCATTTTATTTTTTAAATATAATTCATTGTCAAACTGGCAAATTATATACTTTAAATGTGTATAGTTTACTCTATGTCAATTATACCTCAGTAAAGCTGTTAAAAAATAAAAGGAAGCAGGGCTCCTTGGAGAAATGTTGAATCCAGGGCTGAATCCAGGAAAGAACAAGATGAAGGTGGAACATCTTGTGCCAGAAAACCAAGCAGTGCTCAAAGAATAAGGAGAACTTGGCAAACGAACACCGGGGGAGCTTCCACTGGTTGATTCTGAAACAATGTGTGCCTCAAAATAGCTAACGATAATAATCAATTTGAACCTATTGAATAAAATAAGAATACAGCTACACATATGAATATAAATAAATAAATGAGGGCGCCTGGGTGGCTCAGTTAGTTAAGTGCCCAACTAAAGCTCAGGTCATGATCTCTCGGTCTGTGGGTTCGAGCTCTGCATTGGGTTCTCTGCTGTCAGTGTAGAGCTGCTTCTCTGTCCCCCTCTCTCTCTGCCTCTCCCCTGCTTGCACGTGCATGCTCATACTCTCCCTCTCTGAAATAAATAAACCTTTAAAAATGTTAATAAATAAATGAATAAATAAACAAATGGGCAGGGAAAAGCCCTTCCTGGGAGAGTAGAATGCCAACGGGTAAAAGTAAAAGGAATGATGGAATTAGAACAGTGCTTTGGAGAACCATCTTAGTAATAACTTAGGAGAGAATCACTGATGAATGCTAAAAGTCCCCACCATACACTTATTAATTTCAAGGGAAGAATAGTAACCTTATAGTGGAAAAACCTCATAGACACTACCTTAAGCATCTGGTCAAAGTTGAAACTACCAGCAATGGGACAAATTGATACCACGTGCCTCTTGATACAAAGCACTGAGAAGAATACATCACTTCTGTGGTGTTATTGCCAAAAGTGCTTAATCTGAATCTTATTATGATAAAATGTAAACAAATCCAAAATGAGGGACATTTTCCTAAATAACTGGCCTACAATCTTCAAAAATACTATGTTCACAGAAGACAAAAGAATGGTTTCCAATCAAAGGAGACTACAGAGTCATGGTAATTACATGCAGTGTGTGAAGCTGCATACTGGACCAAAATAAAGTGGTCTATCCTGCTATAAGGAATATTATTAGGAAAACTGGTGAAATTTGAATACTATCTGTGGATTAGGTAATAGTACTGTATGGATTTTAATGTCCTGAAATTGACTATTTTCAATTTCTGTTATGTAAGAGAATATACCAGTTCATTAGGAAATGTCCATCGTGTGTATAACTTACTCTCCCATGGTTCAGGAAAAACCATATATAGGTATAAAGAAAAAAATGATAATGGAAATATGATAAAATCTTCACATTTGAGGAATCTGGGTAAAGGATACACAGGAACCCTTTGTACTATTCTTGCAACTTTTCTGTAAATTTGAAATGATTTTTGAAAAAAAGAATGGGGGCGCCTGGGTGGCTCAGTCGGTTGAGCATCCGACTTCGGCTCAGGTCGTGATCTCACGGTTCATGGGTTCGAGCCCCGTGTCAGGCTTTGTGCTGACAGCCAGCTCAGAGCCTGGAACCTGCTTCGGATTCTGTGTCTCCCTTTCTCTCTGACCCTCCCCTGCTCATGTTGCCTCTCTCTCTTTCTCAGAAACAAATAAAACATTAAAAAAAAAAACAAAATAAAAAAATAAAAAAAGAATGTTAAAAAACATTAAGAGAAATAACTAAAAGAATCAAAGCAGTGAATACAACTTCTAAAACAGAAAAAAACAGGAAACTCAGCCAGTGTAACAAATGGCAGGAAATGTAAAAAGAATTAAACAGAAAGCATGGCAAACAGAAGGCAACAAAGGTCGTTGCAGGAAGACTGCCACATAGATCATGCGTGATAATAAAGTGAAAGCATTACACTCCCCTAGTAATAGACAGATGTTCTGATTGTTTCAAACCAAATAACTCAAGATCTTGTTGTATTCTATTTACAAGAAACATACCTGAAACAAAATAACTGAGGAAGGTTGAGAATAAAAGTTATAAATGGAAAATGCTACTAACCAGAACTAAAACATGCAACAGGCAGTTGCACAGACTGCTGACTGACTAATGCAATGTCCGGTGTCGCCTTCCTCCTCGGTAACAGAACGCCAATTTTTGGCCAAGGCAAAGCTACCCGACAGGCCTCCCCGGTAGCTTAGGTGTGGCTACTCCACTAAGTTCTGCCAATGAGAAGGAGATGGAATTGTTTTCTGGGACTTCTGAGGTCACTTACTAGAAACTGGCTGAGCTAGGGTGGGCCCCTTTTTGCTCTCCTACCTTTCCTCTTCCTTCTGGCCCTCAATGGAGATGTGCGGGCTGGAACTCCAGAAGTCTCGTGGACCATGAGGAGACCTTAGGATGGAAACCATATACCAAGATGGTGAAGCAGAAGATAGGAGCCCAGGTCCCTGATGACATCACAGAGCCCTGGAATACCTATCTCCAGACTTCTGCCCAAGAAAGAAATCATCTTTCTTGTTTAAACTGTTATTTATTATTTTCTTAATATATGTAGTTCAGCGTAAACCTGATAGGAACAATAATATTCTCTAGAAATATTTGAAGGCATACATAAATAAATGCACCAATGGGCAAAGGAGGCTATTTCATATTTTATGATGGAAAACACAACAGGACCATAAAATAGTTATGAACCTTTATACGCTCTTTATGCAATAACAATACAGCCTCAAAATATATGAAGCTAACGCTGACTAAAATATACAAGTGGATAGGAAGTCTGTATACATCTGTCTCAGATATGTATAATCAAACCCACAAACCATGAGAAAGGATGTAAGGATCGCTACAACAGAACTTAACCAGCTTATTCTAACTAGGATATAACGGACTTAGACCCAAGGAACAGTATACATATTTTTTTTATCTCTATGAAAAGGCCACAAAAATTGGCCATGCTTTAGTCAGAGGTCCAGCAAACTTTTTATGGAAAGTCCAGATAGTAAATGGTTTGAGCTGCATAGGCCACAGTCTCTGTCACAGCCACTCCACGGTGCATTTTAAATCAGTAAACAAATGAGCGCAGCTGTGTTCTGATAAAACTTCATTTCCAAAACAGGCACCAGGCCCGTGTGGCCTATGGGCTGTCGTCTGTGAACCTCTTTTCTAGGTAACAAAGGAAATAGCAAAAAAATTCCTTAAGGCTGATATCACACAGGCCACGGCTACCATCATGTGTTAAAAATTAAAGTAATAGCAAAAACAAAACAAAACAAACAAAAATCCCACCCCTTCCCAGACTGACAAATCTGGACATTTTTAAATGCACTTCTAAATAACTCCGAGGCCGAAGAGAAAATAAAGACTCCCAAAAGAAGTTCCAGGGCAGGTGAGGACGACTATGTACACCCTTAGAAGTATTTATCAGAAAACAAGGGAGATAGAAAATGAGCCTAGTTTTGACCTCATGAATTTAGGATAAAAATAATAACAACACAGCAACAATAAAATGTATGTGAAATAGAAGGAAGAAATTAATGAAAAGAAAAGTGGATTTTTTTTTAAAAAGCTAAGAAACTGAATTGATCCAGAGAACTTAAAGCTGGACCTTTGAAAAAAACCAACAAAACAGATGAGCCTCTGGCAACAGAATCAAGAAAAAAGAGGAAACACAAGCAAACAGCATCAGCAACGGGAATGGGAACACACTTAAAGCAACAGATCACACAACCCTCCACTCAAGAGATAGTTACCGAATGTCTACGACATGGCAGGCCCTCCCTGCCCTCGGCACTAGTGAACAAGACAGTCTACATCCCCCCAACTATGGAGGTAACAATCTAATGGGGGAAAGAGACTGTAAATAATAAATGAACTAATTTACATTAGGGATAAATGCCACAAAGAAAATTAAACAGATTTAAAAAATAAACTACATATATCCTCAAGTCCAAAGGATGGTAAACAGACAAAACGGACAATTTTCTAAGAAATTATAAATTACCATCATTGACAAATACTGCATGATTCCACTTATATGAAGCATCTAAAACAGCCAAACTCATAGAAGCAGAAAATACAATGGTGGTTGCCAGGGGACGGGGGTAGGGTAAGGGGGGGTTGTTATTCAAGGGGCATGAAGCTTCAGTTCTGTTACAGCAGTAAGTTCTAAAGATCTGCTGGATGACACGGTGCCTACAGTTAATAATAAGGTACAGTGCATTTCAAAGTCTGTTAAGAGAGTAGAGCTCATGTTCTCTTCTTACCACAAAAACAAATGAATAAAAAAAAAACCCACAAAGGACACAAGGAAACTCTGGAGGTACTGGATGTGTCTATTACCTTGATTGTGGTGATGGTGTCACATCTATTTACATATGTCCAAACTCATCAAATTGCATACATTAAATACGTACAGTCCTTTGTATATCAATTATGCCTTGATAAAGCTGTTTAAAAAATGAACAATGAACAAGCAAGCAAGAAAAAAAATAGCACTGTGCAGCTAAAATAAGGTCTTAAAGATTAAGGTGGTTAAAATCCCCCAGAGCACTGAATAGGTGCCATAATTTTCATTGTTCATGGGTCTCTCCATTATTTCACGTGTGATAACGTTCTAGATGGTCTGTAACCCAATAAAGTCAGAAACAAAAAGTTTAAAGCAGAGTAAGATAAGACAAAGGTAAGGCTCAGGAGTTCAAAGAAAGGATGAGAAGGCTCATCTGCTTCTAGCCCGATCAAACTTTATTCCTAGGGGCGCCTGAATGGCTCAGCTGGTCAAGCACCGGACTCCTGATTTTTGCTCCAGTCATGATCTCACAGTTCATGAGATTGAGCCCCGTGTCAGGCTCTGTGCTGACAGCGGGGAGCCTGCTTGGGATTCTCTCTCATTCTCTCTCTCTCTCTGCCCCTCCCCCACTCTCGCTCACTCTCTCTCAAAATAAGTAAATAAACATTAAAAAAAAAAACTGTTTCTATGAGTGTAGAAGCAGCGCTTCTACTGATGATTTGGATGATCTCGTCAGTGCCTGCTGAAGTTAGACAGATTTGGGCCTTGACATTCTCAGGAGACAACAAGGGTAAGCTTTGGTCCTGCACTTGCCCAGCTGCGTGGTCTTGGATGAGCCACTTTATTTTCACAGACTCAAATTTAAGAAAGACACTCAGTGACCTTTTAAAGTGCTTTAGGCTCTAGTGACTAAGTATTCAATTCTTCTCTTTTTTCCCATTATAGTAGCACTTCTCCTTTACAGGATTAGCACCGTTTACTGAGAACACAATGGCAAACACCTTCTGAAGCTGCTGGAACTGACACGCAGGACAATTTCCAGCTAAAAAGTTTTCCCTCCAACAATGCACTCCCAAATAGATGTTTCAGACCACTAATCTTCACCATCCTACAAAAATAAGTTTGTTCTTAATACTTAAAATGTTTATAACTAAATCATTCAGAAGTTCAGAGGAAATCAATGCTTGGGACTTCAATAAACAGCTTTATTGAGGTATCATTGTGAAAAAAATAAAACACATTAAATAAATAAATAATTTTAAAGAGAGGTTCAATTGTGGGTGCGACGAGGACACAAGAGTTACTCTCTTACCAAGTTTCAAGTATACAATATTTTTAACTATAGTCACATGGCTGTATATTAGCTCTCCAGAATTTATCTTGCATAACTGAAACTTTGTACCCTTTGACCAACATCTCCCCATTTCCCCCACCACTTAGCCCCAGCAACCATCACTCTACTCTTGATTCTCTGCTGCTAGGACTTTGACTATTTTAGATTGCGTATGTAAGTGAGGTAATTCAGTATCTATCTTCTTGTGTCTGGCTTGTTTCACATAGCATAATGTCCTCCAGGTTCATCCCTGTGGTTGAAAATGTCAAGATTTTCCTTCTACATTAAGGCTCAATCATAGTCATTGTATATGTGTGTGTGTATGTGTGTACGTATATATACACCCTTGATAATTAGTGACGTTGAGCACCTTTTCAAATACCTGTTGACCATTTGTAGGTATTCTTTTGAGAAATGTAAAGTCCTTTGCATATTTAATAGCAACGTGGATGGAACTCGAGGGTATTATGCTAAGTGAAATAAGTCAGGCAGAGAAAGACCAGATGCCATATGTTTTCACTCATATGCGGAACAGGAGAAACTTAACAGGGGGCTATAAGGGAGGGGAAGGGAGAAAATAGTTAAGGAGAGGGAGGGAGGCAAACCACAGGAGACTCTTAAATACTGAGAACAAACTGAGGGTGGATGGGGGTTGCGGGAGGGGGGAAATGGGTGATGGGTATAGAGGGGGGCACTTGTTGGGATGAGCACTGGGTGTTATATGGAAACCAACCAGACAATAAACTATATTAAAAAAATAAAAGACTATTAAAAATTAATAAGTCTTTAATCCATTTTGGGTTGATTTTTCTATACGGTATGAAGGGTCCAATTTCATTTTTCTACATGTGGATATCCAGTGTTTCAAAATCATTTATTCATTTTATTGTGTATTCTTGGCATGTTTGTTGAAGAGCAGCCAACCAGAGATGTGTGGATTTATTTCTAGGCCTTCAATTCTGTTCCATTGGTCTCAAAGTCCATTTTTATACCAGTACCATACTTTTTGACTACAGTAGCTTTGTAATATATTTACAAATCACTAAGTGTGACGCCTCCACCTTCATTCTCGATCAGGATTGCTTTAGCTATTTGGGGTCTTTTGCGATTCCCTATGACTTTAGGATTGTTTTTTCTATTTCTGTAAAAAACTGATCTTTAGATCACTTTCAGTAATATGGACATTTGACAATATTAATTCTTCCAATCCATGAACATGGCATGTCTTTCCATTTGTCTGTCTTTAACTTCCTTCATTAATGTTTTTATAATTTTCAGTGTATAAGTCTTTGACTTTGGTTAAGCTTATCCCTAAGTATTTTATTCTTTTTGTTGGTATTACGAATGGGATTGTATTATTAATTCCGTTCTTATACACTGGTTCTGTATTCTGCAACTTTACGGAACTTATTAGTTCTAATCAGTTTTTTGTTGTTGTTGAGTTCTTAGGCTTTTCAACATATGTGATCATGTTATCTGTGATCTGAGATAGTTTTTACTCCTGATTTGGAAACCTTTTCTTTCTTTTGTACGATTGCTCCAATATGTCCCATACTATGTTGAATAGAAGAGGCAAGAGTGGACATCTTTGTCCTGTGCTGAATCTTAGAGGGAAAGTTTTCAATTTCCCCCCATTGATTATATATTAGCTGTGGGCTTTTCATGTGTGGCCATTATTGCATTAAGTTCCTTCTATACCTATTTTGTTGATTTTTTTAAATGCTTTTTTCTCCATCAATTGAGGTGATCATGTGGTTTTAACCTCTCATT